GTGTGATATTATTGTGTTCGGTGCAGTTTATTTTATAACGCTGATAACAATGAATCAACAAATTATCAAGGGAGAAGCTGCAGATACTGCAAATACTACGTTAAGGGTTTTTTTGCCTTCTTTTAAATTTCCAATTAAAGTACACACACAATTATACACACTAAAACAGTGCAAAAATGCGGATCGTCCATCAATTTGCAGAAAAATGTATTACAAACCTTTGAAAATAATTTTCAAACGACCGGGTATTTATCATTGCAAATGAGATTGCACATTGCCGTGTACTGTTAAATATTGTTTTAAGAACTAACAATCGATGTTGTGCAACAAAATTGTGCCTAAGATCCACTACAATAAAGTTTTTGAAAAACTGTTGGACCTATTTTAAATCGCCTGATTGATTGTGGACGCAAATTTGTATCAAGAAAAGATGAAATTAAATTAAATCGTATCGATAGAAACCCGGTACAGAATCCCTATGTCTTACTCTCCGTCTGTAGTCCAGATGATGCCCAGATGATGTCCATTTGCATTGTATTGCACGATTCAAAGTTCTGATCGTGTAAAATATTACTACCTAGTTGTTTAGTGATTTTCATCGGAGGCAATTGTTAAACCAGATGTTGAGCGGATATTTTATAAAGAAAGCAGGGTCAATTTATGAGAAACGCTCAAGATTAAGTGCAAATAAAGTGTCACAACTATTATTAATAACTTTTAATGCAATAATATGTTCTATTGTTTGTTATTTTATTTAATTAGTTAATAAACCAGAGCTTAAATAAAATACTGAACGTATAAAACTCGCGTTTGAGCATATAATTTTAGGCAACGACCATACCACGTTGAATAATACCGGTTCCCGTTCGATCACCGACGTGAAGCAACGTCGGGCGCGGTTTTAGTACTTGAATGGGTGACCGCTTGGGAACACCGCGTGCCGTTCTTTTTGCTTCTTTCAATGCAAGCAAATGTTGCAAATAAAAAAGATATTTTACATTCAAAAGGAAATTAAATTACATTTTACCTATTTCTGATCTATTTATAAATTATTGAACCAAGGATAATATTAAAATAATTAATGCCATCATGCGTTAAACAAGTTCAATATTTTATGGTTGTTATTAATTTATGAAGTTATCACTTCTGTCGAGCGTCCCGTGACGCACGCCATTCTTTTATATTATTTCTTGTCTCTGGTGTAGTCCGTGGTCCATAGAATTATTCTGTGATCTGTGATTTGGCGAGGGGAACGAGTCCAACGTTGTCGGTTATCACAAGTGGTCCAATTCTAATCTAACCCCACTTTTTATATGTTGATTTGATGAAGATAGAGAAGGATAAAAAAATAGATTAGATTTTTCTTGTCTAAACCATATGAAGCAACAAGAGTGGCAAAAATTGCAATAAAGTCGCAAAAAGCTGAATATTCTATTTTTGAATTCGTAAAAGTTAAATAGAAAATTTACGGTGGAAGGAAATCAAGTCTGGCTATTCAGGATGAAGCCAAAATGAGTAGACCGCACAACTGAAACGGTCAGTGACAGTGAAAAAAAATGAACAATCAGGATCGGGTGCGAGCAGTGCAAGAGGCATTTTTCAATGGCCCCGAATTTTCAGGGTCTCCAAACAAATGCCGGACGAAAGCGCGCGCATCCTTTTGTACGCTTGTTCGTTCAGATTCTCTGTCGCAACACGGAAAACCAAACCCGACGGAGGCCGCTTAGACGAGCGTTGTGTGCCGAACAAGTGCGTGAAAAGCCGCTATCTCTTCCATGTTTTTCTGCTAAATTAAGCGACGGACAATCGGAAAAAGTCGTTCAGATAATCCGCATCGCTAGTGTGTTTCGATTGACGCCAACTTGCAACTGTTTCCGACCACATTGGCAGTTTACAGCAGGTACATAGTTTTGCTTGCCATCGTTCTCTTCTGCGCTCCTCTAGCGCTGTTGCGGGCGTTGCTAAACCCTCGTGCGTGCCGAAAGTTTTCGATATGGCACGTGTGCCTTGTGGAAATTCGCGTAAAGTTGCCTAAATACTATATGCATGCCAGGCAGTGAGCCTGCTAAGTTTGATAAGATTAAAATTTAGTCGTGTCAAGCAACGCTTCGCGCAGCGCGTCAACTTCCCGGCGAAAAACCGGAGAAACCGTCCGGCCGCCTTTAATTTTTTGCATTAAACAGTAGCGCGCCTACTCTTCACAGGTGGTGTTTTCCAGGTTTGGAAAATTGAGCCAGCGGCAGCTGGTGCAGCTGGTGCAGCAGATAGTGGAATGAGTTCCCCATCGGCACGCAACAGGGAGCGAATACTGGAAGCCATCGACCAGCTGCGGAAAAGAAAGGCTCGACCGGATGTCGCGAGAATCTGCAGCTACTTGTTTCGTCGCTTCCACGTTAATTCGGTGGAGGCGAAGGCCGACTTGGAATGGTGTGTGGCCAATAGTATCGTCCTGAAAGTCGAGTACAAAGGCAACATCAGCTACAGAAATGCAGCAAAGAAATGGGCTCAAATGCGACATCGCGAGGCCCAGGGCCACTCCGCCACCCCCAACTCGCTCAGCAAGCTGGCAATAAGTCGCAATTTTATGGAACTCCTGACTAACGTTTTCGGCGAGCTGGTGGTCGAAGAACCGGATTACCTGGAAATCGGGGTTCCGCCCAAAGAGATCATAGAGAACATTCTGACCAAAGACAGCGTGCGGTACACGCGCAACTACATCGCCATTCTGCTAATTAAGGAGACCGAGCGTGGAAATCTGATCAAGCTGGCCAATGGCCACTTCTTGCTAGGCCCTTGTGCGGATGATCGCCGCCAGGAATGGATGACTAGGGAAACGGAACAGAAACTGTTGCCCGCAACCTGTCGGGATGGTCAGACTGTGTCGTCCAAGCGAAGTTACAATGACCATTCCAGCGCCGTTCAAATTCAAGCCGACGCAGAAAACAGTCGGCAAGCGATTGTTAAGCCAAAGAAAAGAATGATTGCCAAGGTTCAGGCGGCGGCCCAACGGCAAGAATCTCTGGAAAGACAAGCTCGCATGTATGCCATCGAAGACAAGCACTGCGAAGGCCGTGCGGACAGTATCCGATCGGGTGGACGACGCAAGGTTAGATTTTTTTCTTCTAGTCTACACACACGTTGTTTGCGAACGTCATCATTACGTGCTATTGACTAGCGCATATATCGTAGCTGACTCCTTGCTTAAATGACATGCGCAAGTCAGTTTGAGGTTACATTAATCAAAACAAACTTCTATGTACCAAAACGGGTATGTATTAGGTATTAGGGCTCGGAACCAAACTCGAACAATTCGAATATTCAAAAAGCGAATAATTATGTCTAGTCATAACTCGAAAATTCGAAGACTGGAATACACCAACGTTATCAAACTCACAAGGTGCAAATATCTTTATATGCACTTTGTATACTTTTATAAAATAAGTTATTCATATTCTACAAGCATTTAAACAAATAGTTATATATTTACAAGCAAATGAAAATAAAATTACGTGTTTGTGTTCTGGTGACTCGCGACATCAACTTTTGCCCGGTGTTACAATTAGTGTGCCGACAAAGGCACTTTTTTATCCGTTGCGGCTTATTTAGAGTTTGATTCCGGGCTTTGTTTTGATTAACGTAACCTCAAACTGACTTGCGCATGTCATTTAAGCAAGGAGTCACTTACGATATATGCGCTAGTCGTGTGTGTTATTGACTTGCCTGTCAAACCTCTTGTTTTGTTTACTTTCGCCCTTGCTGGTGCAGCGTGTTTCTGGACATGTCCAAATGTAGATTGCTGGTAATTTTGTTTTAAACTCAGAACGCAGGCCATTTTTGGCAAACGGCAAGCACTTTGGCGCACAGGAGGAATTGTTTGCCAAACATAACCATAAAAGACAATCAAAACTATATTTATTGTTAACTGTTTCTGTTCATGCAGTTATCGATGTTTGAAACGACATGCAGACATCTGCAAGAAGCTTAAACTGCTAGTTTAAGGACACTCATGGCAATTCGTTCATTAACCGCTTATTTCCTTTTAATAGAAAGCAAGAAAAGTATTTGATCCTTCCGACACTCACGTTCCAAAAAAACGGGGTCGTCCAGCTGGTTCGCTGAACAAAAACACCATCGAAAAGCAGCATGTCTTTAAAGTTAGGGATGAAGACTCCAGGCCGAACTCTCGGAGCTCAACAAGCAGCAATCATGGGGGAGTGTGTTCAGTTTGTCACACTCAAAGCAAAAAGGGACCAAGTGATCGGATGGTGTCTTGCAGCGAATGCAGCAACAAAGGTAACTCCAGGGGCGGATCCAGCTTTAAATTCAGGGGGGGTTATGTAGAAAAAATCCAGTTGTCTATGAAATTAGAAAAATTATCGTCGTTTTGTGCAAGGGTGGCGCAAGATTATTGCAAGAGCAAGAACGCTCATTTGTACATCATTCTAGACAGAAATAAATGGCCATTTTAGAAAGTGAACCATGTATGGGGAATTTTTGGCAGTTTTTTCAAAAAATGCTTGAATTCAAGAAGTTTCAGATTTGCGTGGTCTTTTTTGAGTTGCAAAATCCACTTGAACATGACGCTGCTTTTTTCGAAGTTTCTCAAGAATCATTTAAGCCACAGAATTAGTTTTGCCATCGTTGGATAGAGAATTGAATGGGGGGGGGGTCATGCCCCCATGACCCCCCCTGGATCCGCCCTTGTATTAGATAAGCGTTTTTCGTCTGGAAACCTGGACATCTGAACGGGAAGCGTGTCTAATCATTGTCATGCGGAATCCGGCAATAAACCGTTGGAAAAAGCGCGATTGAAATCCACCGTAATGCCCTCCATCATGCAAAAAATCCGGCAGCACATAAACGAAAATCAGGGAAATGCCGGCTAAAACGACCGTTTCCGGGGCCCATCCGCCAAAAGTCGCTCATAAACCATGGATTTGAACATTGCGAACATTCCCGGCCATCTTTCATCCAAAACAAATCGCTCCAGAGATTCAGGCTTTTGTGATTTCAAATGTTTTGTTGATAAATGAAATGCTTGTTTTGATTTGTTCCGTTTTTCTGTTTCAGGTAAGCGGCTTCATACGTGCAATCATTAGAAAGCTACAAAGTGTCGGTAAGTTTCATTGCTTTGGTACATGCTCCATAATATTTCCCAGGAAAAATAACTGGACACTCTTTAGTGGAATGCCCATCAACAAAACTTTCCTAGTGATTTTTTCGGAATTTTCTTTAGTGCATCCAGGGGCAGCTCTCAAGTCAGGGGGGCGGTCATGTAGAAGATATTCAGGCTTTTGTTGTCAGACATTTAGGTGCAAGAGTATGCGAAATTTTCATGTTTTCCGTGCCCTTTTTGCTTATTTTTCCATCATTCAAGACAGAACTAAATGGCCTTTTGAGAAAGTGAACCATCGATAAGGAAATGTCGGCAAATTTCTCAAAAAAGTCTTGATTTCAAGAAGTTTTATATTTTGCATGTTTTTCGGTGGTCATTCGCCCTTGGCTGCATCGGGTAATGCACTCAATCAAACCACTGGGTTCTTCTGCGGGCCCTTGAATGCATTCCGCTGGGAGAATGGGAAAACGCTGTTCCGGACATGTCAGAAAAAGTGAGAGAGTGGAGTTGAGGCGAAAAATTTAATCGAAATTATTCGAGAAAGCGCCCGAAGGAAAAAGAGACTGGCGAGTACTTGAAGAATGTGGCATGAGAGTGACGCTGTATTTAATTGCCTTTCAACGAGCGCTATTGGCTGAAAGCAGTCGGCCGCCTGAAGAGCCCTTTCGGTATAATAATATGTCGCCTTTTCGAGTCCTTCAGACGAACGCCGGCAACGACTTTTATAATTCCATTAGGGCACTTGCAGCGGGAGGAACGCACCACTAATAATCCGGACCGAGTCATTTTACCATTTTTACCCGAACCGATCTTTCAGTATTTCCTCACCCGCATTTGCATCGGTCCCCGTCCGCCAATTTATTACCGTGCCATAAGCTTACATTGACCCATATTAGAGGCATAAAACCGCTAAACTAGTTAACGTATTGCCCTCCAAACATGCAGTTTCATTAGAAACTGCACCAGATATATTATACACAGAGGGAATTGCGGCTTGGAACTAGCGCAACAAGGTCAGCCCCTCGAGCAGCTCAACCATCAACTTTGCCCATATTTTCATTATCTACACGAGAAAAATCCATTTCGGTTCATGTTTATGCGCGAAAAGTACAAGGAGGATGGTTCTTAAGCGATTTATTGCCGCTGCTGATGATTCGGCTTCGCTAGTAAGTTGAAATGTTATGCTGCCTCCAGACCGAAMAAGCSGAGCCCGAGCCGGCTTTTTCCAAAATTAAAAACTAGTTTCCAATTTTGCGATCAATTTGGAAGCGAAAAGGTCTTCTGACATTTTTTTTGTGCGGTGCCCCGTTTTCGAGTAAAACATACAAGTCGAACCGATGCCAATATGCGTGTTGCCAGAGCTAACATAGACCGGTTTCTTTTAAACGGAAAAATATAAACCCCTTGTTGTTTCTAAACTAAAAATTAGTTTCCAATTTTACGATCCGTTAGGAAGCGAAAAGGTCTCTTGGACTTTTTTCGCCCGAGGTCTTGTTTTCGAGTAAAAAAAAATAAAAGGCGAACCGATGCAGACTTTGCGGTGCCAATTGCCCAAAACATTAATAGAAACCGGGTGAGTTTAATTTTGAAAAAGTGATACGCGTCGAATTTTTCTAAAATTAAAAACTAGTTTCCAATTTTGCGATCAATTAGGAAGCGAAAAGGTCTCTTGAAATTTTTTTGTGCGAGGCCTTGTTTTCGAATAAAAAAATAAAAGGCGAACCGATACAGACTTTGAGATGCTAATTGCCCAAAACATTAATAGAAACCGGGTGAGTTTAATTTTGAAAAAGTGATTCGCGTCGAATTTTTCCAAAATTAAAAACTAGTTTCCAATTTTGCGATCAATTTGGAAGCGAAAAGGTATTCTGACATTTTTTTGTGCGGTGCCCCGTTTTAGAGTAAAAAATACAAGTCGAACCGATGCCAGTATGCGTGTTGYCAGAGCTAACATAGACCGGTTTCTTTTAAACGGAAAAAATATAAGSCCYTGATTTTTCCTAAASTARAAACTAGTTTCCAATTTTRCSATCMATTAKGAMGCGAAAASGTYTCTTGGRRTTTTTTCGYACGAGGCCTTGTTTTSKARWAAAAAAATAAAWGGCGARCCGATGCAGAYTTTGAGATGCCAAGTGCCCAAAACATTAATAGAAACCGGTAAGTTTAATTTCGAAAAAGTGATCCGCGTCGAATTTTACCAAAATTAAAAACTAGTTTATAATTTTGCGGTCAATTTGGGGGCGAAAAGGTCTTCTGACATTTTTTTGTGCGGTGCCCCGTCGAACGGCTGTTAGTATGCGTGTTGCCAGAGCTAATATAGACTAGTTTCTTTTAAACGGAAAACATATAAGGCCCTGATTTTTCCTAAACTAATATCCAGTTTCCAGTTTTTCGATCAATTAGGAAGCGAAAAGGTCTCTTGGGAATTTTTCGTACGAGGCCTTGTTTTCGAGTAAAAAAATAAAAGGTAAACCGATGCAGACTTTGAGATGCCAAGTGCCCAAAACATTAATAGAAACCGGGTAAGTTTAATTTCGAAAAAGTGATCCGCGTCGAATTTTTCCAAAATTAAAAACTAGTTGAGTTAAAAACCGGGTGAGTTTAATTTTGAAAAAATGATGCACGTGGAGGTTTTTCAAAAATAAATACTAGCTTCTAATTTGACAGTCAATTGGGAAGAGAAAAGGCCTCTTCGCGTTTTTTGGTGCGACGCCCCATTTTAGAGTGAAAAAATAAAAGTCAAACCGTTGCAGGATTCGAGTTGCCAAGTGCTCAAAGCTTACGAATAAAAATCGGATACTTTCATTAACAAAAAAGTGAAAAATCCCTGATTTTCGCTAAACTTAAAACAGTTTTCCAGTTTGTTGATCAATTAGGAAGAGAAAAGCCCTCTTGGTGTTTTCTGGGGCAACGCCCGCATTCCGAGCAAAAAAGCAAAACTCCACTGGTTGCACTCAAAGCATGTGAATGTAAACCGGGTTCTTTTAAGTTTCAAAGTGACAAAGCGCGTATTTTTTGCAGAATCGAAAACCTACTTTCCAATTTTACGATCAACTTGGCGGAGAAAAAGCCCTCCCGACTCCGAATAGAATTAGAATGTGAAAAGTTGATGGCCCTCTGACGCTCTCTCAGTTGTAATTTTTCTGCAGAATTTCGTCCCTAATTTAAATTATCCCGGTAATTTAATTGGTCGGCCTTACCGTTCGCGTCATTTTCTCAGTCTTAAACTAATTTGTTCGGTCCTTTCGACCGGGGGCTGTTTTTAAAATGTAATTGCGCTCACTGGCTTCCATTCAAACGTTCTTCCGCGCCCGAGCGCAATCATTTTATTACCTTCCTAATAACAATTAGAGTCTTCTTGTTGCTGCCGCTGCTGCTCAAAATTCGAAACTTTAAAATTGCGATTTTCATAATGCGAATAATTGGCTGGCCAGTTCGGGATGGTCTAAATCGGTTTCATGGCCGAAGACGAGCTGTTGAGCGCTATTCAGTCCGCTGCTGGGCCGCTATATATTCAAGGATTAGCGTCGGGACGCTTTACCTGACGTGGCTGTAATCGGATCAGCCATTGTTTTGGCTATGTGAGCCGAGACTATATTTGTGTTTATCTGTGACTGGCTTACCTCCATTATTTCCATTGATTTAATGGAGAACGTCGCTGGCGCTAATAAAGCCGAGCCACCGCTCTTTGTTTGATTTGCGTGTAAAAAGTGCAAAAATCGGGGAGTTAAGTGGATGATAAACCCTTGGCAACAGTTGGGCGCAGTTTCAATTGATCAACCGCCACATCTAGACAGAACAAACCGTTTTCTTTGTTAATTAAAAGGGCTTGAAACGAGCGTTTCACCTCGTTATTATTCCCGCACATTTTCCGGGACGCTGCCGTCTCGCCCGAAAACTCTATTTAGCAGCGTCGCCCTCTTTATTCCTGGTTTTGCCGGCCTTTATTTACACTTGACTCTCTTGTCACGTCTGGTGCACCGTTCATATGCCCAAAAAAGGGGACGAGAAGTTCCAATTTTTTCCCAGTGGGGGCGGCCTCCTTTGGGGAGAAATTCATCACACTGCCGATATTGAATCCAGCTGATGCATAAATGCAGGCCTAAAGACGCCCGTTCGTCCGCGGGCCCCGTCCAATATGTATTCAAAAGAGCGTGGACAACATCGAGAGGACGTT